ATTTGACGTTCCATGGGAAGGAGTCCCTCGTAGAAATATTGAATGAGCAGCTCCTCCTTCATCTGGTGCTGTGGGCATGAAGCAACAAGTGATTTAAAACGTTCATAATAAGATGGGAACGACTCACCTTGATTTTGTTGAATGCCACTAATTCGTTTCCTCAAGAGAATGATTTTTGCAGTGGGAAAGAATTTCTCTAAGAATGCACGTTTCATACTTTCCCAAGAATTGACAGTTCCAGGAGACAATTCAAACAACCAATCTTTGGCCTTGTCCATAAGTGAGAATGGGAAGGCCTTCATCTTCAAAATACTCCCATCAACGTTGATGGGTGTCATACATGAGCAAACTACCTCAAATTCCTTAAGATGTTTGTTAGGATCTTCCATGGACAACCCATGGAATTTAGGAATATGATGTAATAAACTAGACTTAAGTTCAAATTCTTCTGTCTTACCTTCAGCTGCCGTAGGGTATTGTATGCATAAAGGAGCGGCATTGCCCATACCTGAGGCAGAGAGCTCCTTGATGGTCCGATTGTCCACTGCCATGGTTGGTACTTCTTCTTTAAATTCAGGTTCGGGACTAGGAGGATTAGATGCTTGTGATTTCTTTTTCCTTCTCAAAGTCCTCTCGAAATCACCGTCAAAGTCGGAGATATTCTCACGAACAGGTTGTGAGCTACGGGTCATAAACTAGTACCTACACACAAGAGTAAACAAGATAAGTAATCAACTTAATAGACTTGGCAAAAAAAAACAAAACACATACACACGGTGCAAAAAAAAAAATTAAAACAAAACAGAAATTAAACAATTTAAACAAGACTCAAGATAAGGGATTAGCAAATTTGCCAATCCCCGGCAACGGCGCCAAAATTTGATGCGATAATTATACGCACACAAACTAAACCCTATTTGTGACAATTGTAGTAATGATGTAAGTAGAGATCGTTCTAACCGGGGATTAACTAGGGATGCTAAACACTTGACTCAAATAAATAAAACTAACTTTTAAAACACTAAGACAAACTAAAAGACTCAAAACAAGTTTAAAAGACTCCAAATACTCAAAAACATACAATAAGACAAATCAAATGATTAAGACTTAACAAAATAAGGGGGGGTGATTGTGGTTGGACGAGATTAAATTAAATGGACAGAATATAATTAAAGGCAAAATGTAAATATGAATGTGATGAAAATATGGATGATGGAATAGCCAAGGGGTTCTTCTCCACACATGTTACACTTGCAATACAATATTGATTCTCAGTTGGTCTTTTGATAAGTTGTGAAACTCAACACCCCGGGTTAATTAGGTCCGCTTAAATTAACCGTCAAGTTCTCCTTAAGTCAATGAATTGGATGGGTTAGCGCAACGCAATTCACCACATTCTCCAAAAGTCCTTTACGTGAAAAGCACAATAAAGATACAATCAAAGATCATTAAGCATTATGAAAACTATAAGTATTGACGAGGCATTCGTTACTATGGAATACGCATGAAACTTATGCCAAGAATTCGTTTAACACGATTGTTTATAAGCAACCTCCACTACTTGTGAATATAAGTTCATAACGATTAGGTGAAATTCACTTATATTCTAGCGTCATATTTATGCATGAAAATTAAGCACGCATTCTTAATAAACATTCATAAATAAGTTATCAATCAAACGGTTAAACAAATTGAATCCACAACTTATGAAATTCCAACGAAAGTTAATCAATTCATATTGCAAATATAAACATAGTTTCGAATTACCCCCTAGCTAAAGGGGGTTTAGTTCCTCATAACTTTGAAATCAAAGAAACACCTAAACATTCCAACAACTCAAACTTGAATTGTATGAACGTTTAGGCACTCTTCTCTTCCATGGTTCATACGTACAAAACAAAGAGAATTAAATTATAACTTTGAAATCAAAGAAACACCCAAACATTCCAACAACTCGAACTTGAATTGTATGAACGTTTAGACACTCTTCTCTTCCTCTTTGTTGTGGCACAAGGTCTAAGGAGATGTTTAGGGCTTTAGGTGTATGTGGAATGGAGTGAGGAGTGGTTGGAGATGGAAGAAAAGATGCAGGAAATTGAAGTGGGACTCACGGCAATGGAAGAATGGGATGTGTTTGTGGTGTGTTGTGTATGAAATGAGATGTGAATTTAATGGGGAGTGAATGAATGCAAGGGTATTTATAGGAGTAATGGAGGGAACATATGGCTATGTCATTTGTAGGTGAAGTAAGTGTGTGAGGTTGGTGAAGTAAGTGGAGGTTGTAGGTGAAGTAGGTGGATGTTGTAGGTGAAGTAGGTGGATGTTGTAGGTGAAGTACATGTGTTTAAATGGTTGAAATGTGTAGATGATTATGAGTGATAAGTGATAAGTGTATGATATGTTAAGTGATAAGTGAATGATTATGATAAGTGATAAATGAATGTATGATATGATAAGTGGTGAATGATAAGTGGTAGTGTTTAAGTATTTAAAATAGGGAACAAAGCCCTTCCTTGCATGGCAAGGAAGGGAGACACAAGGAAACACACGACAATGTCCTAAGGTTGCTAGGAATGTTGTTTTTGTGTTCTAAAATGCGTAGGAGTTTTCAATGATGCTCAAACATGAGGTCTTTTTAGGATTTAACTTTCCTACTTCAAGTCTTCAATTTCGTCCATCCTTTTGGCTCCAAGCATATGATATCCATTCCAATCTCTAATTTGCTCCAAAAGGCTCCAAAAGGCATCCTTTTGCATACTTTGCCCTTAGAACCTGAAAACACACAAAAGAAGCATAAAGAACTAAAATAACTAAAGAAACATAACGTAAATGTACGAGAACAAGCCATTTAAGTCGCATAAATATGCTCCTATCAGGTGGCCAGAGTCGGCAGGAGTTTAGCTTGAAATCCACGGGGCTCATTGAAGTCTAAGCCCTTGCACCAGTTCCCTTGGTGCTACCTTCTTGGTCTTGGGTTCGAGGGTTGGTGTTTGTGGGTCGTGGGTTCGAAGGTTGGTGTGTGTGTGTCATCAGAGGGGTGAGAGCACAAAGAGAGACATCTGTGAGAGGGAGAGAAAGTACTTAGGGGAGAGAAGAGAGAAGTAGAGAAAGAAAAGAGGGAGGGGGAGTTGCCAGATGGCAATCAAAGAGAGTGGGAGAGTTAGGAGGAAATCTAAAAAGGGGATCCGGATTGGGTAGAGGATAGGGGACAAAAATCCTAAGTGGGTCCTATGGTTCACAAATTAATAACGTAAAGAACGAAACACAAAAATATCTGGAAACGTTCGATGTTCGAACGTAGAATCTTCGTTATAAATCCGAATCTATTCGCGCCTACGCGTTCGTGGCTATAATTACGTTAAGAATAAATTAGAAAAAGTAAAACTACACGTTTCAACGAGACGGTCAAACTAAGTCAACTCAAGGGCAAAATGGTAATTTCATAAGTCCGTAAATATGAAAATATACTAAATTTGGGATGGGGTTTCACAAATATGTTACTTGATACACAATTGGTGATTCGGTACATTTGAAAGACTAAATGATCTCCGATTTAAATGATTTTTGCAGAGCTGAACTTCGAATGAAGATTAAAAAGTTGACGATTCCGATTATGAAATTTGTACAGTGAAAATACGTTACTTGTAAGTTGAGTTGTGAAATTATCACCTCAAGGGAGAATGTAAGTATTATTCTTTTTACATCCCCTTAATTCTTAATATAGGAAATTGGAGCAATTGTTTATAATTAAATTGTGGATTTGGTCCACAAAAATAAAAGTTCATAAAATTTACAAAATGTGGAGTATTAGTTCTTTTGTGCTGACTTTGAAAATTTTCATTAGTGTGTTGATGTTGAGTATCTGGGCTCCATATTTAGTTGATGGAGATGCCTTAAGGCTTAAAAGAATTCTTTCTTTTTTTTGGTGGGCGCGGGAGGGGGGGGGGTGGGGGGTTGGGTTTTGATTTAAAGTAATTAAAAAAAAAAGAAAAAGAAAAATGAAGTAAGTAACAACTCCATAGGTGGGGTTGTTTATGTAATTTTACCATTTTATCTCTGATACAAAATGTGTACCTAAGCAAAGGGCATTGTTAGGCATTTAAAATGCTTCACCAACTATGCCTTCTTTTATATAGAGGGAAGAGAAGAGACACCATTATAATAGCACAACAATAAATAAACAAATAAATTTTATATTTTTGTTCCTCTCTCTAGGCTCACACCTTTTTCCCTTTCCACAACTTCCCAACCTACACCCTTCTCCGCCACTTTTGGCTACTTTCAATTGCAATCGATTAATCAAAGCTCAGGATTCTCTCTTTTTCATTTTCTTTTTCAACTCTAGCAGCTAACAATTATGCTCGTGCATTTTGGTCGTTGCGGGTGAAGGTGACGAAGAGAGAATGGGAAGTTGTAGCCTCGTGGGTGCATAATTTGTATTTTACTTTGTTTTAAAAAATGAATTTAATTACAATTTGTAAATCTCATTTCATGTCACGTAAGAAAAATAAATGAAAAACAAGAAGAGTTGAAATTAAGGATTAATGCTCCATATTTTGTCAAGTTTAAAAACCAAATCTAATTGTTGTAAATGGAGGTGTGAATGCTTATTGTAATAAGCAACAATGTATGATAAAAACATTTACAACATCGTCAAAGAGAGTTGGTTTGGTAGGTTTGTAAGACATTTTGCCTATAAAAGATTGAAAAATAAAAGAAAGAAGAGAAGTGAGAAACATATGGCGGAAAGGAAAGAAAAGAGGAAAGGAAGAGAGAAAAGAAAGAAGAGAGAGAAAGAAAGGAAAGGAAGAAAGAGAATCAGATTAAAATACCAGTAAGTTAGGCTAGAGAGAAGAGAGAAAATAATGAGTTATTTTGTAATCCTATTATCCTATTTTGAAGACATAGACACATTTACCGAATATCGTAAATATTATATTATATTTATTTTATAGTTCACTGCACTCATATTCTCAATTTCAGCAATGAATTTTTTGAGTTAAAAGGTCCAAAATTACAATTGATTAATAGTGTTCAGTCAGCCGTCGCCGACTCGCCGCCTTTATTATTTTATTCGAGCCCTTCCCAACTCCCTCTTCGGACTTTTAACGAACACCTCGTCTGCTCTGCGCATATTTCTCAACCTCTATTTGTACCAATGCTGAGGGCTTTTCCTGCCCTTTCCCGCCTGCCCATTCCCTCTTTCCCCATAAGTAATAAGACCACGTAACGTCAATGCTTCACTTTTACCTTCTTCTCCCTTTTCTTCTTCTTCATCTTCTTTTTGTATTCTTTTTCCTCTGACTAATTTGTAATTTTATTGGGTGCTTTTCGCAGAAGTGCTTTTAGCAGAATGAGCTCAACCCCATCACCAAAATGCCCAAAATTTATTCCTGTGGAAGAGAGTAAGATCTGCTCAATAAGCAAAGTTGATGGTAATCCCTTTTACCCTTTGTTTTCATTTCATTATTTTGTATTTGTTTTGGGCATTGACTTTTTGGACATTGTTTTATAAGGTTCGTAAAAAATTGCTGTAAGCTTCTCTATATGATTGTGATTTTGCAGGTATCAGGTTTAGTCTTGTGTCATATAACATTTTGGCTCAGGTATGAATGACTATCACACTTAATTTTCTGACAATTTCCGATTTCGTGCTTAATTGACCGTGTTTTAGTTTTTGCCTTTTGGGGTTTATTATATGAATCGGTATTCGATTATCGCTTTGTATCCACAAAGAAGTGTATGAAATAATAATGAACTTTTATTTAACTAAACGGAAATTACATGTTACAACTGAATCCAGCTTCCTTTTATCTTTCTATGCCAATGTGATTGTTTGTTTTCTATGTTTTGTGATCATTAATGAAGTGAATGTGTTGATTATATGCAATGTTGCCCATATTATCTTTGTATTTTTTCATTAAATGATATGTTTAGTGTTAATAGTAAATTTAATTTTCTTGTATTTTGCTTCAGTTGGTTCTATTATAATGTTATTCTGTAATATTTCCTAATTCATTTGATGTTGAGGAAGTACTTTACAAGTTACATATCGGAATATGAATTCCTTGTGAATGTTATTTTTATATTTTTACCCTTTGTCTAAAATATCTCTCTATTTTTTGTATTTGCAGGTGTACGTAAAGAGCTCTTTGTTTCCACACTCTCCATCCTCCTGTCTCAGGTATAATGTAAATCATAACTTAAGCATTTTGTGAATAAGTTGCTCGATTGTTAGCTTATATTGATATAAGTAGTCTCTATTACTAGTTGTTCCATTTAATTGGCGCAACATTAGGATAGTTGTTCCATTTAATTGGCGCAACATTAGGATAATGTTGGCTTATAGTGATGCATAGCATGTAAGCTAACCTGCTATGAACATGGAATTATAAGCAGGAACTTGGACCTATGTATCAGATAGTCTGTTGGTTTGGTTTGTTGTCTACAACATGTAAAGTAAGTTTTGGCATGCCCAGACGGTACATCAGTACACTGCATGTGTCTACAACATACTTTTTACCTTTTTACCCATCTAATTTTGTGATGTCAATTACCTTCTTCTGATGTTTGGCTGGATTGCTTAGTAATATTCTACACATTGAGCAAAGTTCCAGGAGAAATAGATGAGTTTTTCCCTTTTTGGTAATGTTTTCTTCTGCATGCTATATAAAGTCTTTCACATGTGAGTTTTTCCCTTTATGTTTGGAAATGTGCTTACCATAGGTGGAAAGCTCGCTCGCAGGCCATTTTGAGTGTTGTAAAGAACCTTGGAGCTGACTTTTTCTGTCTACAGGTTTCCTTTTATGTTCTTTGTTATATTTTTCTGCTTTTCTTGAAAGGGGAGATAAATAGTTTCTTTGCCATTTATATAACCTGTTGTTTTGAACAATATAAAATTCTTTCCAGGAAGTTGATGAGTATGACAGCTTTTACAAAGGAAATATGGAGAGCAATGGATATTCTAGTACGTATATTCAGAGAAGTGGGCAAAAGCGTGATGGATGTGGAATTTTTTATAAACACGAAATGTAGGTTAAAAATCGACTCCTTTTCCCAGTTTAATGTGCATAATTTACATACTTACTGACTAGAATGAGCCATCAAGAAAAATATGAAAATAATAAAGAACAAGTATTTAACATCTAACAACACCAAGTAAGGAGCAAGTCTTAGCCTCTTCAAAGTGTTGTTAGACATTGTGGGTAATCGGTGCTGGAAAATAACAAGGAGAAGGGTTCAATTTCAGGATAGATGCTTGAGAACACAAAGTGGCTTGTTTAGCCCGTTGAAATACTTGTGGCTTCCGCTAGGAGATAATCACGGGTAGGTTGGGATCTGGTGGCAGAGAAAGTGAAAAAGATTATTGGAAGATTGTAAGAAAGAATTCCTCTCAAGAGGAGGTAGGTTGACTTTGATTGATTTGGTTTTAAGCTGCTTACTAACCTACTGGCACTGTGTTTTTAAAATTCCAGCACAAGTACCCAATAGAATAGAGCAATTGATGAGGAATTTGTGTGACAAGGTTTTGAGTAAGGTTTTGGTAAAGAGAAATAAGGCAGTGCTTGGAAAATGGCTAAGGACATTTCAGCTGGTGAGGTTTTTCTGTATGACATGATGTCATTAGAAACAGTTATGAGGTAGACAGGAATTTAAAGGGATTCTAATCCAGTGATACAAGTTTCATTTTATCACCCTTTGGAAAGACATTTAGCAAGGTCTGAACTTTTTTTGTGTCTTGCTGTCTTTTTAGTGGTGGATAATGGAGTTTTTGGGACGAGAGTTGGCAGTGGAAACTTTGTTCATGACTTTTCAATGTCTCTACAGATTGGTAATATTGCAGTAATATAGCATACTGTTCCTATAGTTAGAATGTGGTCAGTTTGTTCCTTTCTTTATAATGGGATGTAGGTCTCCACAGAAACTTGAGAGCGAATTTCAACTTGCAAAGGCCACTTCTTTGCCCCCAGTGACGTATCATGTGCATAGGAGTTCAAATTTTTGTGTAGTGTTATTGGAAAGGAACAAAAGGATTTTAAAGATTTTAGAGGGGAGCAGCACTAGGCTCCCGACTGCATTTTGGTCTTTGATTGCTTCTGAGTCTTGGGAAATTGCATTTCTTTTCGGTGCTACCTTTGCAGATTGGAAAGCTGTTCTTATCTAGATATTATGGTTTTTGTTGTATGTTAGCTAGAGCTTGATCCATTAGTTAGTTGCTTGTATTTAGTGGATACCCTATCCACACAATTTTAGTTGTTTTCTTTGTTTAATAGAGTTTTGTTTCTTATCAAAATTAAAAACTTTAATCCGAAGCGACTAAACCGTCCCGTTCATGTCGTGGACTCATATGAAATGGCAAAACCCATAGCATTGTCTCTGCATTGGCATATAGATATCGGGACAAATTTGGATAATTTCTTTCCAATTTTTTTTAAACTTTGCAGCAGAGCGTTACCTATTTAAATCTATTTCAAATTTAATGCACGGCTATCTTAATTGCCGGTTTAATTGTCCTTCATCCTTCAGGGCAGATTTGGTGTTGGAGGAGAAAATAGAATACAATGATCTTGTAAACTCAATTAAAGATGGAAATATACCCGGTGATGATAAAACAAATGATAAGAAAGCCACAGGAAATGAAGATGCCGGATCCAAAAATGGTAACTTCCATGCTGTTTTAATATCTAATCTGTTGCTGACTTCATGTTGCTAATGGTGTACCGTCTCAAATGTTTAAAATGTTAGAATCTTGATTTATGCTAATGCATAGCTATGTCTTTAATTTCAAGTATTTAGAGGAACTCATTCATTTGCAACTTTATCTATGTTCTTATTGTTGGTGACATTTTAAATACTTTTTCCCATCTGCTCTGTGTTTTTTTCTATTGGTGTTATTAATCTTGATCATAGCTTCCTTATGTCTTGATACAGTTTTCTCCACAGAACTAAAGATTTGGTTGACTGTGACATTTTCTTCACTCTTTTCAGGTTCAATAGTAGAGACCACTCAGGATCGTGGAGATCCTAATGATCCTCGTGTCAGACTAAAACGTGATTGTGTTGGAATTATGGCAGCATTCAAGTTAAAACATCCTTGTAATCATTTTGTTATTGTGGCAAACACACATCTTTACTGGTAAAGTTGTTTGTTATTATATTGTTAGTTTCCTACTATTTTATGCGGTGTTGTGTTTATGCTTCTTGCCTATAGACGTGTGGTTTATATTTTATTTGTTCAAATTGTTAAGGACATTGATGTTTATGCTTCAGGGATCCTAGCTGGGCAGACGTTAAGCTTGCACAAGCTAAATATCTTCTATCACGTTTGGCTCAATTTAAAACATTAGTATCCGACAGATTTGAGTGCACTCCTTCATTGATTGTGGCTGGTGACTTCAATTCAGTTCCCGGGGATAAGGTCTGATGCCCTCAAATTTCTTAATATTCACCTACTTTACTCTTGTACTGGTTTGGTTTGCATTGTTTCGGATTCTTCAGGTTTTGTCTTAGTCCACTAGGGGACCTGGTGCATGCAAAATACTTCCCCCAGTTCTAACTTCTCTTGTATTCCAGGTTTACCAGTACCTTATTTCAGGCAACTCTTCATCTGCACCAACAATGGATATTCTAGAAGATCTGCCTATTCCCTTGTGCAGCACCTATGCTTATACACGAGGTGAACCGCCATTTACAAATTGCACCCCTGGATTCACTGGTACACTTGATTATATATTCTTTTCCCCTTCTGACCACATAAAACCAGTCAGTTTTCTTGAGCTTCCGGGACCGGATTCCTCTGATGTGGATGGTGGATTACCAAACCTCTTTCACCCAAGTGATCATTTACCAATTGGTGTGGAATTTGAGATATCCAGAGAATAGATTTCTTTTCTGACCAAAAAAAAAACAATAAATTACTTGATACGGAAAGTAACGTTTGGGTCCTTTAAAGTTTTGTTTTGCATTTTTAGGTTTATGCTTCTTATTTTCTAAACCTCGTGTTGTATAATTAACACTGAACTGCACATTTCATCGCCTAAGAGGGAAAGAGAAACGATTGGAGACTGATTGGTTTCGGCTACGCATAGGAGTTGGGCGGCCATGATAGGTTAGCTGAATTGATTAGTGTTATGAAGTGAATGGAAGAAAGTTACAATGTCTTATTTACGTATAAGGTGACTGAATGGGTGGTGGGGAAGATTGAAGACTGAGGACGAAGAATTGAATGTCAAGCGTATAGCGCGAGCTTGTAATTAAGTAAGGTATTAAAGTGATTGGTTGTGTAGAGATTAAGGCAAGCAGGTTAGACGTTCACTCCCAATGGGCGGTTGGCAAATATCAGCTTGAGAAAGGAGTAGCAAATGAACGTAGATCCATTCTATTGCCTTCATGCTGTGTTGATGCATGAAATCTGACTTAACATATGATTTCTGTGAGATCAAATTAGACCACCAAGTCTGTGTATTTAATAATATGTCACCGCCAACCAGAAATATGATACAACTTTTCTTAGAGTGAAGAAGTAGCTGGAATGGAGAGTATAATTTTTGATAACTTTTGTATATAGAGCTAGTATTGGGGACATACGTTGTTTGACACACATTTTTACACCCTATCAAATATTACTGTGGTGGTGTTGAATTTAGGGTCTGTAGACCTATCCTCATGGTCGTCATCGGCTTCGACGGACGGCGGTGGTGGTTCAACAGAATTTGGGTCGTGGATTTAGACAAGATTCGCAAGGAATCTCCTTAATTCTGTTATTCCCCATCACAACCTCGACAGTAAACAATGTCTATAAAAATTGTGTGTGAAACTAATTTTAAAAAGAGAACCTTAACAAAAACTAAGTGAAACTAATTTTAAAAAGGGAACCTTAACAAAAACTAAGGCCTATAAAAATTGTGTCCTCACAGCTTGGCATTGTACCTTCATTTATATTAATTCTGAAGGGTTTTCTTGCATTGCAAATAATACAAATCTATGACAATTTTAATCTCAAATTCTATTAGGATTCTATTTTAAGTTTACAAAATCACATTCCTAATTGATAATTCTATTCACAATACTCATACACTTTACGATATATACTAACAAAAATTACCCGCGCAATGCTGCGAGTTTCAAATGCAACTAGTTCTTGCAATCAGTAAATATGGTCAATAAGTTGTCAATAGTCAAAAAAGATGTTGGCCAGGATAGTCAAATTTTATTAGATTACTCCAAATGACATCAACTTCTCCAAAAAGTTTGCTTCTAGACTCTTACCAGTCACTCAATAGATTTGTTAATTGGCCCTAGACTCATTAAAAAAAACATAGCCAACTCTAATTAACAATAGCTAATCAAACTGCAAAAACAACAGTGAGTTTCAACTGTGTTCAAACATCTGAATCAACAAATTCAAGTGTCTTGATATGCATTATTACCCAAAACGCATCCATTACATTTTAATAAAAATTTCCCTAATGGACTTCAATTCACATACAATTTGAAAGATCAAATTCAAACATTGAAGCACTCAAGCAATTTAGATAATGCTTGAAAGATGAAATTCAAACATTCAAATCATTATGCAACTGATTCACATGAGTCGCATTAGGTCCTTACCAACCAAAACTTTATCACAGCCAAACACTAGGTCCTTTCCATTAGTTAAGTAGATTTTACATAGCTGCATTCTCATTTAAGGAACACAAAAATATTTGTGACATCCCACATCGCCCAGGGGAGTGATCCTTATATGTATATTCTCATCTCTACCTAGCACGAGGCCTTTTGGGAGCGCACTGGCTTCGGGTTCAGTAGGAACTCCGAAGTTAAGCGAGAAGGAGGCTAGAGCAATCCCATGATGGGTGACCCACCGGGAAGTTGCTCGTGAGTTCCCAAAAACAAAACCGTGAGGGAATGGTAAACCCAAAGCAGACAATATCGTGCTACGGTAATGGAGCGGGGCCAGGAAGTGATCCGCCCTGGGCCAGGATGTGAAAATTTGGTATCAGAGCCTAACCCTGGCCGTGTTGTGCTGACGAGGACGTCGGGCCCCTAAGGGGGGTGGATTGTGACATCCCACATCGCCCAGGGGAGTGATCCTTATATGTATATTCTCATCCCTACCTAGCACGAGGCCTTTTGGGAGCACATTGGCTTTGGGTTCCGTAGGAACTCCGAAGTTAAGCAAGAAGGGGGCTAGAGCAATCCCATGATGGGTGACCCACTGGAAAGTTGCTCGTGAGTTCCCAAAAACAAAACCGTGAGGGAATGGTAAATCCAAAACAGACAATATCGTGCTACGGTGGTGGAGCGGGCCCGGGAATATCGTGCTACGGTAGTGGAGCGGGTCTGGGAAGTAAATTGTCACATCCCCGCCGGGGGAAGCAGGATTTCACTATTGGGTGGGTAAAATCTTTGGTCGGACATACCCTGAAACTTTAGGGCAAATACATTTTTGGATCACTTTTTTCGGGGTTAATCTGACCTTCTTTCCAATGCATTTCTTAGGCCTTTCGGGTATGCCACGTCGCATTCCAGATTATCCGGATGCTTACGCTGGGTGGAATGCCATTAGCAGTTTTGGCTCTTACATATCCGTAGTTGGGATTCGTCGTTTCTTCGTGGCGTAACAATCACTTCAAGCAGTGGAAATAACAAAAGATGCGCTCCAAGTCCTTGGGCTGTTGAACAGAATTCAACCACACTGGAATGGATGGTACAAAGTCCTCTAGCTTTTCATACTTTTGGAGAACTTCCAGCTATCAAGGAAACCGTGAAGTAAAAGAAGAAAAGGTAGACAACTCCTACTAAGAACCTAACAGAACAAACAATGCCCCATGCCTTTCTTGGTTGGACTAGCCCAACCGGCGACTTCCGTCTTCCTGAATTGGCAGAGCAAGAACAAGTCTCTCTTCTTTTTCTTCTTATTACAGATGACCCGTTTTCTCTTTTTACTTTTTTTTTTCAGTGGGTTTTTACCCTTTATTGGAACTTTTAAAATTCTTCCTACTGAATAGGAGCTACTAGATTTTTATTTGAATTTTCCTTACCAAGACCCCGAATTGCGGGAAATTGTGCTGGTTGTTGGGCATTTAAGCCACCATTATTCAGTGATGAAGCTCTAACGAACGAATCTTATGTGTTTTTCCCAGAGAGAAATCTCTTTCCACTAGAACAAGTCCGCTGCGAGCCGAGCGAACTATCCACCAAGTTGAACTATTGACTATCTTTACTAAGCCAACCGCCCCCTCTCCTATACCCGGCTGCTTCTCGCTCACCAAAGCGTACTTCGTTTAGGAGGTTCACGCAAGTATAGTGCGGCTTATGGTTCTAGTAGCACAAAATATATAAACCATACTATGCTAGTTCCCTCTAGAAGACCCAGTCTGACTATAGTTAGTAGTAGTATAGATTAGTTAGATTCGTAGAACAGAAGAGGAGCCCTTACTTGATATTATATTAGTAAAGCGTTAGCACCCCTATAGAGAAAGGCTCTCTTCTGGATAGCTGCGAAGCCTTCGATGTTGGTATGGAGACTTTGTTTGCTTCCCGTTCGCTGAACAACCCCCCTGTTGCAACACTTAACTATGTGCTTCAAAGGGCGAACTCCACCTATTTTTGAGCTATTGAATTAGGCGATCCGAAAAAAAAGATCTTTCTCACCCCCCTCTATCAGAAAGGGAGGCTTGGCTCTGAAATGGTGGTAAGGCAAGCTGTATGTATCTAGGTAGAAGTAGACCTCGAGCTCCGGGGCTTTAAGGGATATGGCAGGTTTGGAACCCTAACCCAGGGCGTTTAGGTAGTTTTTGAGAAGTCTTTAAGAGATAGGGGGAAACCTCACGGTAAGACTTAAGTTCCAGAACTCGACGGGCCATGCCAACTCGTCTCGTGTCCAATGGACTTTCTGGCCCTGGCGCCCAGAGCTTTCTATCAGCTCTGGATTTACGTAAGGTTCCACCAGAGATAGAGGAAAAAGCCTCTCGGCCGCGACCGGAACGAACCACTTCAGGGACAGGAGCGGGAGCCGGAGCAACCGGGCGAGGAGGATCACAACTGCAGGATGGGGGACTTCCCCTTCGGAGAAGGTTGCCAGAGCCAGCCAGTTTTTCATTTAAAAGGCATGATAGTCTTCAACTGCAGAAAAGTAGTGCGGAGAACTAGTAAGAATTGTGCCTGCCATCTAATTCGTGACGCATGGCGAGATTCTTCTACATTCTATATCTATAATATGTTCATTCATACCAATATACCTGCTAAAACAAACCAACACATTATCAACCCTTTCCCGGTCATCAATCCTGCAACACCAAATTCCTCTCCCGTCTTTCTCTTAAAACTCACCTCACTCTCGTAAATGTCCTTCCAAAATCCTAGCGTGACGTGGATGATCCGCCGAATCCATTGCTGACTTCACCTGGTCTTTTCACCAATGAGCACTTGCTTGAGACCCCTTCACGCTGCAACCAAAGATCGCTTCGCTTGGTAAGAACCGAGACCCTTCGGCAGTCAACCTATGGTTACCTTACGATAGCTCAGGTTGGTTAGTCAAGTAAATGGCGGCTACAGGAAGACATACTTTTTGAAGCGGTGAAGCGGTCCAGCACTAACTAAAGGATAGCCATGGCCGGCTAGCGAGCCACTAAGGAATTGGTTCTGCCTGGGAAGGGTCTACCCAAAAAAAGAGTGTGTTTCTTCAGCCCTTCATTATTATTAGTAAGATGGGGCGTATCTTAGCTCCTCCGCATGCTACTTACGATGCCCTCTCTCATGCAATGCGATTGTAGCACACCTATATAGCATAGCGGAAAGCAAGGTCTCGGACATAGGAAGAAAAAAGCTGTTCCCGACGGAGAAAAATTTCGTACAACGCGGATCATGAAATGCATTTCGCACGCAACATTGAGATCGGATGATCTCATGTAACCGTCCCAAACAACAGCAACAGAAGCAGAAGACAGAAACTAATGCAAAGGGGGGGAGGTCAGCACGCACAACCAATCCCCCTCCCGAATCATTGGCATATCCAATGTTTCGAATTCGGTTCCTTTCGGATCGCATCTTACCGCGGAGA